GAGAGAGAGAGAGAGAGAGAGAGAGAGAGAGAGAGAGAGAGAGAGAGAGAGAGACCATCTCACTGCCTCCCTAATCAGCTTGCCAGTTAGGATTTCCAGAGAAGTGACTCATAGTTGTCATAGTTGGAACAGCACCTGGGGTGCTCACTCACTGTCAAGTTGGGGGGATAGCTCAAAACTTAGAAAATCACTTAATTTTGAATGTTTTTAGAATCTCTGAAAATTGTATTTGAGCAGATCTGACAGGGTTTTCCCCCCCTTCCTTAATCTAGTCTTCATGAAAAACTACAAAGAAGGAGGATTAAGAAATATAGGGAGCTGGGCGGTGGTAGCACATGCTTTTAACCCAGGTGGATCTCTCTAAGTTTGAGGCCAGCCTGGTCTACAGGGCTAGCTCCAGGACAGCCAGGACTGTTACACAGAGAAACTCTGTCTCAAAAAACCACAAGAAAAAAAAAAATGTAGGGAACCTAGTTAGGTGAGCTTCTCAGCTCTTAGCTTCTCTTCTGACTCTGGTGGTGTGGGAGTTTGGTAAACAGCGTTGAGTGTGCGCTCCTCTCTCTCTGCCTCTCCAGAGACACCTGCCAGAAGTCGCAGGCTCTGTGAGTCACCCTCGGCGTGTGCCGTGCATTGAGAATGCCTTTCCTGCACTCTGCCCTCAACCACTCTGATGTCGGGAAAGGTCACTGAAGGTGAGAGGCGGGCTACAGGAAGGGTCATGTGGACTTTACCATGCATGGGTGAGTACTGGCATTGACCGGCATGGGAGGGACTGCAGACAGACGGACAGGGTTTTCAACTGTGCTACATGAAGGTAGGATTTTCATGCCTTGCAAAAACTGCTTCCCATACTTGAAAATTCAGGGTCCCCTTTGGCATGTGTTAGTGTCATTAGAACTCGTTTCTGACGTTTTCCTTTGACTTGCACTTTGTCACGCATATCCATGCCAGGCTGTGATCTAAAATTCTCAGTCACTGCTTAATAATAAGGAACTGCTTTTCATTTCCAAGACAGGGCAGTCGGAGTCTTTGGGGTTTCCCTGTCTCCCTCATTGAATTCTGGGGTATTAATTGAGCACTGTGTTCTATGAACTCCCTTCTCACCAAGACAGAATCCTTGTTTTCTGGTACAAATGCCAAGAGTTCTCAGAATCCTACCGGTCTCGTGTCTAACAGGCCTATGCAGAACATGCACTAACACACAGCATGGCTTCCTTTCGGGTGGTTCTTTGACAAGCTTTCAAGTGTGCAAAGAGACAGAGAGCCAGCGAGTTATCAAACATGCCGAACTTCCCAAAGCGCACTAAAGGCTTCGAGCCACAACAGCGCCCCGTCACTTCTACCTGCTGGTACCTTTATAATCACACGCCGGCGAATGACTCGGGTCGTGACCCTCCGCTCCTCCTCAGAGCTTGAACCACTCTCACTGTCTCTCAAGTCCTGATAAATGCATTTTTAGTATAATTTTATCATCAGATTGAAAGCAAAAGACATTTTCTGAGAAGGGAAATCAAGAAAGAATTACCTTGACTTATTTCCCCCCTTAAGGAATAGGATGGTTTATATTTAAAAGAATCCTGAAAAGTGAGTGGAAGAAAATGTTTTAAGCAAGATTCAGGCTGCTTTCATAGATTTTTGTGTGAGTGAGCAAGTCTCTGCATGTTCCTGAATGCATGTATGTGTATGTGAAGGCATGAACACACATGTGCATGCGTGTATGTTTGTGCCTGTGTTTAGGTGTGCCTCTGTATACTTATGTTTGGGCATGAGAGGTGTCTGTGCAGTTAAAGAAAAAGGTAATTAGTCGGGCGATGGTGGCACATGTCTTTAATCCCAGCACTCAGGAGTCAGAGACAAGTGGATGGATCCCTGTGAGTTCAAGGCCAGGCTGGTCTTTAGAGGGAGTTCCAAGACAGTCAAAGCTACACAGAGAAACCCTGTCTTGAAAACTTTAAATAAATAAATAAATAAAAAGGTAATTATGATCTGTTAATAATACAGCCTTTTCGGTTTAAAATCTAAATGTTATCAGCTTGATAAGGTCTTTGTATTCCCATTTAAAATAATTTTAAATTGCCTTTGTCTGATTTGGACTTATGATCTTGTTATTTAGGCCATATTTTACTTGCTCTCTACAGAAAGAGGCGTGTGTGTGTGTGTGTGTGTGTGTGTGTGTTTATGGAATTTTGGTTGAATTTGTTAACTTTATCAAAAGCTATCTTTGGGTGGACACCAGCACTTGCCAGTACTGGGAGACTATCATCCACACAAGGTATTCAGTAAGAGCTTTTGCCAACAGCGAGGGAGTACAGACCTGTGAGCGCCCGAGGACTTTAGTAAAGACCCACAGTGAGATGACAGTGTAAGGCAGAACATTGAAGACATTGATGGGACTGTAGGATCGTAAGTTCAAGGCCAACCTGGGCAACTTAACGAGGCCCTGTCTCAAATTTGTGTGCGTTGGAGACACAGCTCAGTGGCAGGAAACTGGCATGTGTAAGGCTTAATAGTTTACTCTCTAGGACCGGAGAGAGACAGACAGACAGACAGAGAGAAAGAGAGACACAGGAATTCTGCAACTCATGAGTCTGAAAAAAACTATCGAGTTGCAAATAGGACCATTCAAGTGAGAAAATACTGTTAGTCAGTAAATATTTTTTCATCACCGTATTTAACTGTGATGATAGAGTTATACAAATGAACTCTAATGGTCAGGGAGCTAGGATCTGTACAGTTAATACCATTAGAAGAAGGTATGATTGCACTGTGTGTGTGGGAGGGTGGAGACTAGTAAAATCGCTGCAGGAGAAACAGGCATTAGGTAAAATGACCGTAAAATGGTAGCTGAGAAGATAACACACTAGGATACACTGTTCACCAGCAGTCCGCTGGCAAGAAGAGGAAGTGTTAAGAGTAACATTAACGCTGAGTTTATATGAAGTCCTACTGGAGAACACGGCTCTCAAAGTAAATACTAGCCAGTGTCTATGCAAGGAACAGAACATAAAACCCCATTCCCGAGGGCGGTCCTCACGTCTCACAAAAGGACAGCGGGCAAAGAGTGGGAATGATTTAGGGAACGTGTTAGGAAAGTAAGCAAAGGGAAGAGGAAGTCATAGTCGCAAAAGTACAGGATCACCCAGGACAATTCCAGGATTAACAGTCAGGGGAGGCAGCAGGGAAAGTCTGAATCATTCATACATGGATTGTAGGGTGGCAGAGTCAGAAACACGTCACAGGTTAATGCACATACTAACACAGGGCTCAGGAGCTGGCAGACAGGTGAGCCTTGGAAGGCTTCCAGGACAGTCCTCACATACAGAGGCGGCTTGGGACCAGCGTTTCTGTGTCCCCTCTCTCCCCGGAGACACAATTAGCTTAGGAGAAGGGAGAGAGCAGCGTAGAACCCCAGGCTTCCTTTTAAGAGAATTCTCTAGAAACCAGTAAAGGACCAAGCTTGGGGGGAGTGGGAGAGGCAGGTGGGATTTTCCCAGCATTCCTTGCTTCATGGGAAGAGGAAAGAACAGGGCTTTACCTTGTAACAGCAGGCGGTCATCCGTGTAAGCGCTGCACCCGGACTTTTGACCTGCTTTTTCGGGGGACAGAAAGGGGTCTGTTGTCTGCAGTGGACATCGGATGGCCTTGTTGGTTGCTACATACTGGGACGGTGCCACTGAAGACCTGACTGGGGCATCGTGGGATTTCCTGTGAGCTCAAACCCATGTTGCCCAGAAGCTGTGACCATACATGGACTTTCATGGATGGGAGGTCTCTCTGCACTGGATGACTCGACGGGAAGTTTGGTTTCCACTGCTGGTGAACCCTGAGGAGTTCTGTTCAGGCTTGTAACTGTGTCAACCTTCTTCATGGCCATACCTGAGTGGCCCTCCAGCAACCCACAACCACACACCCATTAACACAGTGTGTCACATGTCTATATGGGTTTCTATAGTTGTTTCCCCGCCCCAGGATAAACCTTCCTAGGTAAAAATGTCACTGTGTTACTGCTTCTCCCTGGTTTTTCTTTTTTGTACATCGATTTTAAAAGGAACATATTTAATGGTATGGCATTTTAAAAGACAAGATTCCACCCAAACTCATCCTGCTTAAATAGAATGAGAGACAAACCAAAGGCAAAATTAATTGCGGAGCGCCACATTTTGTGGAAGGGGGAAATCCTCCAAAAACTTTAAAAGGAAAAAAAAAACAGGAAAAGAATCATATCAATGCTTAGTTATTGGTGATGTCATCATTTGCATAAATGGCGATCTATTGAAATTGCTCTTCCCCCCACTTTTCCCTTCTAACCCTCTAGAGAGCGACCAAAGAAGTATGAACAGGGAAGGGGGGCCGTGGTATAGGATTCATTAATTGTCAGTGGTTAGCTTCTGAGTGCCTGGGTGTCTTTGTAAACTCGAAGCAACATTTTATAAAATACTGTTTCTTCTTCTCCAAACACTGACCTTAAGGGGCCTAGGTATGTCTCGGGGCAGGCCACAAGAGCCAGCGCGTCAAAGGCAAAGGGCTGTGTTTACTGCGTCATTGACCGGAAGACAGAGGCATAGAGATAAGGCAATGGTGGAGAAAAAGACAGGAGGTGGTGACACACAACTTAATCCCAGCAGAGGCAGAGGCAGGTGGATCTCTGGGAGTTTGAGGCCAGCTGGGTCTACAAAGTGAGTTCTGGGACAGCCAGGACTGTTAAACAGAGACACCCTGTCCTGAGAAACAAGCAAACAAAAAGGTAGGAAAGTTGTGTGTGGTGGTGCGCACATTTCATCCTAGCACCTAAAGGGCAGGCAGGTCTCTGTGAGTTTGAAGTCAGCCTGGTCTACATAGTAAGCCCGTATATCAAAAAGCAGAAACCATGCATTTTAATTTTATTTCATTGGCGAGAGATAATTTCATTAAAAAATATTTTAACATTTTAAAAATGTTAAAACGAAAGAATAAAAAAAATCTATTAGGTAGTATCAGAAGAACATACCATTATAAAGAGCAAACTAGGGGTTCTGTGGCATTTGGTCTGGGTCTACGTGCTGATGATCAACTGGCATATAAAAAGAATGTTTCTAAGGACAGACTTCTGCCTGCTGTTGAGTCCCTTTATCTTGGAAATTGCATCTTTCCAATTTTCTCCTACTTTGAGACATTAGTCGCTACAGAATAGAATGTATCAATGGGTCTGATACTACAGTCTTTAAACTCTGTGAGAGAACCAGAAAGTATGAAAATTACCCCTCTTTTCCACTAAGAACAAAGGCTGGTGTGCAACCAGGTAACCTTAATTGCAGGCAGAATTGGTACTGGACCCCCAAAATTAGTTACTTAGTGCTCTTTTGCTTCTTTTTCATTCTTGGCCATGGCTGGAGATATTTTATTCCCTTGATGACTAAAGGTGCTAACCCATGGTGTACATCCTCCCCAGGGCTTTCTTTAGCCCCCACCCCTCATCACCATTTAGAAAGCATGAAGAACCTTGCACCCAATGGTCCAGGGTCAACAGCAGCAGACCGTGGGTGTTTGCAATGACAGGAGCATGCTGACTTTGCGGATGACCTACCTTAGGTTCCGATCCGCTGGACCCCTCGTCTTCATGGAGGTTGAGCCTGGCTTTGCCATCAGCAGAAGTCCTAGTCATCTTTTTCATGCTGACAGGCACACAGGGCTTAGGTGCATCTTCTATGACAAATTTGCTGGTTTCTTCCAGAGATTTCTGATAGGCGGCGAGGGGTGACGCTGGCTCCTCAGTGCGACCAGATCCATGTACTTTTGGTTTCAGATTCTCCTTAATGCTTTGCTTCCCTATGTCGTTCTGGGATTCCGGGAAGTAGGACTTTGCCTTTGCTTCTGGAGTGACATCTGCATGGCTTCCGTTGGCTTCGAATTTCCCAGGTTCTCCTTTGAGATATGAGGTAATGGAATCTCGAACCTGATCAGTGCTGTAAAGGATACAAGATGCAAATTCGTAATGGCAGCGTGAGACTTCAGATGGCTTCAGCATCCACATTGCCAAACTACTTCTTTTTTTTTAATTTTAAAATTTATTTTATTGTTTTTGTTTTTTTGCCTGTGTGTATGTCTGTGTGAGTGTATTGGATCCTGGAATCACAGACAGTTGTGAGCTGCCATGTGAGTTCTGGGAATTGAACCTGGGTGCCCTGGAAGAGCAGCCAGGGCTCTTAACCACTCAGCCACCTCTCCAGCCCCACCAAGCTACTTCTGAAGGCATAAAAAGTAGGCATGAAAAAATTAGCATGTGGATTTCAAATGTGAGGGCCTATTGCAGGTGAGTCAGTGAGGTGTACCCAGGTTGTAGGCATCCCCAACACCCCAGCTTCCAACATAGCTGTTAGATTGTCACTTTAAATGAGAATCATTTTCCATAGCTGAATTTTACACCTTAAAAGAATGTTGATGCAATATAGTCCCAACCTCACCAGTTTTAAAAGGAAGGCTAGTGTGAAGCACTATCACATCACTAATGAAAAACAAACACACACCAGGCGTGGTGGTGCACACCTTTCATCCTAGCACTCGGGGAGGCAGAGGCAAGCGAATCTCTGCAAGTTCGAGAGCAGCCTAGTCTACAAAGAGAGTTCCAGGACTGTTACACAGTCCTATCTCGAAAAACAAACAAAAGAATAAATGAAAAAGCTAAAGACAAATGAACCCAAATGCTGCCTGAGAGAAATACAACAAAAAGAACTCCTGAGAGGAAACTGCATTCTCAGGAATTTTTACAAGGTTTCGTCTGTGCACACAGGCACCAGCCATACTTTCTCAACCAAGATGTCTTTATTGGAACTCCTTGGCCTTTGTCTACTCCAGACCTCCACGACCTTGACTGACCAGTGTGACTTCTGTTCACCATGGGGCCGCCTTTCCTAAGTGAGATAACTTTTTCTTTTTGAACGATTTCTAATCTTTTACTAGTTTCAACAAAAACCACTTGTTTTCCTTTGTAACTCATACGTCATTTTCAGTTTTGTGCCTAGAAGAGGCAGCAATTAGCGCGATACCCTTTATGTTAATGTGGAGGTGCGGACGCAAATGTGTGCTTATCCTGTGTGTGCAAGGATAATCTACTGGGAACGGATCTCTGTGAGTTCAGAGACAGCCTGATCTACAGAATGAGTTCCAGAATAGCCAGAATAATAAAGAGAAACTCTGTCCTCCCCACACAAAAAAAATTAAAAACAAAATGAAAGAATATTTTTTTTTTCCTGAGGATAGGTATGTTTTCTTTGTTTCTCTGAATTTCCTAGATGAAGATATAAAATTTATACTTGTCTCATTCCTTTCTGGGTGCATGGGATGCAGGAGATTAAATGCAGAGCCATGCACATTTGGCTTGCATATGCACTGCTGCTGTAGCACACCTCTGTATTGAAGAATTTTCCTGGGGATTCTTGCTAGGTGGCAGCATTTGTCAAGTTTTTAATGTCTAACATCTTGTATCACCACATTTATGTCTGTAGTTATGAAACGAGACAAATGATAATAGTCCTAAAAGATCTGGGCTCTCACTTCTGAAATGACTTCAACTAAACACTGCTGGCTGTGCAGACAAGACACATGTAAGAAATCAGTAAAGTGTCTTTAAGCCAACATCTAGAAAATTGGCATGGAAGTAACTGTGCTTTGCTTTTTACTTAAAGAATCCATCTTTCTCTGGGGATTTTAACATGCTGAAGCTGGTTTTAAAGGAAGGTCTATTCTGGACCAGGTCTAATCATTTAGAAAAAGAGCCATTGCCAAAAAGCACCTATTTGAAGCAAAGTACGGACAGGACACCCACTTGTCATGTGTGTTCCAGAGCCGTGGCCATACCTGTCATCCAGGCGGTCTAGCAACCCACCAGTTATCCTTCGGGCTTGGGCTGGGGACTCTAGGCTTCCACTCGACGTCTCGTTCTGCCAACCTGCAAGTGAAGACATTGCCAGTTCTGCTCGCTCAACACGGTTAAGAACAGCCTGCACCTTTTCTTCTGTCGTCTCCTCAGACTCTACTCCTTCTTCAAGTTGAATGTCCTCAAACAGGGATTTGAGCTTTTCATCCACCACCTCCTCACCAGGACCAGACGTTCCTTTCTCCTGCTCTTCAGAGCTTACGCCTACTTTTCTAGTCTGTGGTTTCAGCGGCTCTGCCGGCGTACCATCTTTTGGGACCCCAGCCAAACTTCCGAGGTACCGGGGACACTCACTCAGACATACGTCCTTCAACTGGCTCTCGTCTACATCCCGCGGGCCGGCCATTTCTGTTACAGTTACTGAGTCTTCCAGTTTGCTGTCTTCCAAGGACGTGTCTTCTGCCATTACCACTGGAGGTCCACCTGCTGAACGCTCTAGGATTCCCTGGGAAGGCGCTAGCCCGTCACTCAGTCTACTGGGGGTTCTAAAGGGAGACTCTATGCTAGAGGTATCACTAAAATGGTCATCTTGCTGGAAAGGGGCGGGTGGTGTGCAGTACAACCCCATGGGGGTCTCCAGCTCCACTTGAAAGGAAGGGTGACCTATGGAAGACAGTACATTTGGACTGAACTGGAATGCGCTAGAACACATTGGACACAAACACATGCGATGACTCAAATTATATCAGGTATGACAATGCATGATGGGTTACAGAACAAGGTACACGAGTTCATGGTTTAGTTCAGTTACATGTAATTTAATGAAATAAAATAACAGCACTTTATCAATTTTAATACAGTATCATAACTATGCAGGTGAAATTAACCCAATATAAAGTTAGTTGTCATATCTAGAAGATATGCGGCTCACGGCTAACACATGCAAAACCTATGCTATGGTAGGCTGACTACAGCAAGCTGCAAGAAGCCAATTCTGTAATCAATCCCCTCTTGCGTAGGTTAAAAACACAATCCAACTCTAATTCTTACTCACATGAAATTTACAGGAGAAAATAAGGAATGGATGTACAGGCTGGAAAGAAATGATGGATGGATTTCTAAAGCTACGGAAGTGCTGGCTAGAATAGTTTAGAAAGACGTTAGACAAGATAAATGACTCCCCATGTATCAGGTGCCTTAAGTCACAGAGAGGAGAGAGTTATGGTGTCTATGGACATCTTGGTGAAGCGGGTGATGTGAATCTGCTTAGAATCATGAGGCAAAAAAAAAAAAGAGAAAATAAAATGATACACAGTGGAGACAGGAGGAGAGCCTAGGGGCTTGGAACCGTGTTGTGGCAGCCTGCTCAGATGGGAGGAGGGGCTAACCCCTGATTCTAAGCAATCTATGGAAGAGGAAGAATTTCCTTGGCCCAGCAGTGAGAAAGTCAATAAGGGTCTGGTCCTGGTGAGGAAAGGATGTTTCCCAAAAGCTCAACAAAGAGGGGAGAGACACTTTTTTTTTTAAAGCAGCAATGCATTTTCTCTATTCATCAAAAAGCCAAAGACTGATTTTTCCCACTCATTCAAGGCAAACAGCGGTTGCAGGTTGTGATTGCTATAGGTTAGTGGACACTTGTTGGTTGCAGCCACCTATAAACGTGAGCCTCTTTATAAGAGGCTAAGAAATGATTTATCATTTGCATTAGTGAATTTATTTCATGCCTAAATTTTCTTGAGAAATTTTAAGAAAAAGAACTCCACAATATTGAGATACAATAACAAAAAGCCCTGGTGAGCTTATTTTAATGACATTCAAACTTTACAATGTGAAAACAAAATGAATCAAGGATACCACACTTAATTTCTCTTCCCCATAAAGCGTAGAGGAAGCTATAGATGCAACCTGCCAGTAATTCTTCGTTTGCTCTACTGATCTAGTACAAAAAGGAATTTATCGACCTACAGCCGCCCGCATAATTCAAAGTGCACCACAGCGCGTGCATCCCAGGGACCCAGTGTATCAGTGCTTCTTGGGTGACAGACGTACTTCACTTCTAGTAAATAGTCTAAGTCTCTGCAACCTTTCCCAATGGGACACACACAGAACTTTGAAAGTTCCTGGCTCTAAAGAGTCCAAGTTTGCCAGTTAGACACAGGAAAAGACCAGGACCTTATTTCTCGACCCTTGAATTAACAGGACAATATCCCTGACTACTCTGGACCATGCCGTGCCATTATTTTCCATTCATCAGTCACTGTGGGGACAGAGTCCCACCTGTGAAGTGAGACAGGAATAGCTTCAAAAGCATGGCTGTCTGTTTTCCTTTTCCTGATGCTCTGATGAGGGGGACCTGTTAATGAATGGGGGAAGGGACTGTTAGATTAAGCTAAACCTAAAGGTTACCATTGATTTGTGAGTGTGTGTGTTCACTGAATTAGAAAGAATGTTGCCTTTTACGTACAACACACCAAATATTGCCTGCCCTCCACCCCAAGAATTACTGGCAGAATGCAGGCTAATATAATGCTAAGTAACTAAACCACCTGAGATGATGGGAGACTTCTCTGGTGCCCTTCTACATGCATGGTCCCAAAGCAGGGATTCACTCACTGTCTACCCAGTGTTTATTTATTTAGCCAATGTTTAGTGCCAACTGGGCTCAGCATATCACCTTCTTGGCTAAAACTGGGCTCACAGTTTTATTTCACTTATAAAATGGAAAGAGATCACGAGTTTTTCCGTTTAAAAAAGTGATTAATTTTAAATGCCAAGGCATTGCATTTTTTTAGGCATTACGTTTTCTTCCTTTTGGGGTGCACAGAAGGCTAGGAGTCGCAGCTTTCAGCTCATGCGCTCTCACATGGCCTCCTTTGTGTTGCAGAGAGACATTTGCTGAGCCTGCTCTGGTATTAGAACGCTCGTTTGCAGACTCTGGCAGGACAAAAATGACGGGAACACGAGACGTCAAGCAGATCACGGCGTGCGCGCGCATGCGCGGTAGCGAGCGGCTGCCTCGACCGACAGCAGGTTCAGATTTCTACCGAACGATCAAATATGAACACTAAATGCAATTACCATCAACTGGGTCATGGAAAACATTGTTTTCATCTGCAAAGCTTCTGGTGCCTGAAATATTCCCGTAATCAAAAATCGGTCCTTCTAGCAGGGTCACTATGTCGATTCGGTTAATTTTGGTCAAGACCGAAGTTAAGGCATCAGCTGAAAAGGAGAGAAAAAAAGGTTGAGAACCCAGTGGCATCATTTCCCGCAAGTTTACACAACATCCAACCAAAGCATGGCTTCTGCAACGCTGTCAGCATTTCAGCTCCCCGCTGTAGCTCTGCTAGATCCCTATCCAGAATGCTGGCTGCCCCAGGGAAGAGCCCTACTTTAAAGCTGACTATGGAGGTCACAGTATGCACCCCACCGGGACAGGACAGATGGTCTTCAAACACCTGTACTCCACTAAGGGACCTAACACAGATTCAAGTTCCCTGGACTCACCTCATCCTAATATTCAGTGCTTTACGTTTTAATCAACTACCAAGGTCAGGCTGACCGGGCAGATCCTCAGTAATTTACCCCATGTTGTAGTGGGTGAGCACTGGGTGTTTTGAACTCTTTGCCACCTTCTGCCCAAATCTAATGGTAGCAGAGGATTCTCCGCTGCCCCAGACTGGATGCAGCTTGCTAACTCCCCTAGTTGTAGCCCATTCCTCTCTGCACTTCCCTTCACCCCTGCCCCTGGATGGAGCCATAATTTCAAAATGTTTTTGATGACCATCCCGTGACAAGAGAGTTAGTGTTTCTCCCCCAGTTTTAGTAGACACATGGGAAGAAGGCCAAACAAAGTGCACACTATTTCCTGCCTCTTGCTTTCCCCGAAAGCTTAAACAGGATTCTAGGACACCAGCACTTACTAAACAAGCGCCACTCTAGACTCTCTCTAACTCCTCCTCCCTGCTACCTAAAATTACAGAACGCTGGAAATCCTAGAATGAGCCCAACAGCAGATTTATCTAAGCTACTGACCCTGTGGGGTTTTGAAAATTAAAATAAATAATTTGAAGCATACTTGTGGCATTCTTTCCGTCTCTGGTAACCCACTTTTTTAAGAGCATGAAGCTTTGAGAAATTAAAGAATTGGGATTTTCCACACGTATCTGATTGATTTCGTCCACTGAAAAATTCAGTTCCCTTGCCAGCTCTGTGAAGAGAGAGAGAGTTAGGGAGGGTATGTTTTACTGGGTACACACTTTATCCAAGTCATGTTCAATGCCCAACACCCCACTCCAAAGAAACAAAACTAAAAAACCAACCAACAAACAAAACCACTAGAAAAAAATGAATCGTAAAGAAAAGCTCTTTGTTTAGAGTTGGGCACTCTGGTGCTTGATTTTACAGGCAGCCTGTGGTCAGACTTTTCTTGGCTAATTACTTACAATCAAATTCCCATTAGAAATCTCTGCCTGCCTCTGCCACCTGAGTGCTGGGATTAAAGGCATGTGCCACCCATCTGACTAGAAAGCATTTTTAAAGATTTTTGGGATTTAAAGAGAGGACGTTTGCTGGTTTCTTTTGATTGGGTGTATCTCTGCAGATTGAACAATTGCACACAAGACAGGGAGGAGCATGTTACCCCTGGCCACACACAGAGACAGCAAGAGAATTGCTCTGTGTGACCTGTTGAAGCACATCTCTTACTCATTTGCTAATGAAGTGACAAAGCCTGTGAGCTTCCTCAGGAGGTCAAGAGATACCTCAAGGGAAAATCATGCATGCAATACACAGCCACTTGTATGGAAAAAAAAATAAGAGGAGGCGCTGTGTCCAAGTACATACTCAATCTTGCAAACACAGAGGTGTCTCTGCAGAGATTAAGATGAACTCAACGTGGACCATCAATATGGCTCGGCATTGAAGGCTCCTGATGCCAAGCCTGATGACCTGAGTCCTGGGATCCACGCGGTAGGAGGAGAGAATCAAGTGAACTCAATATGAATGGAGACCTTGGGAAAGGAGACGTCTTGCCATCACATCTCCTTAAAAAATATGTATCAAGTAAGAAACACGAAGAATTGCTTCCACGGGAAAACAATTGGCCAAGATTCTACTCCTGTCAAGCATTTCTAGAAACTCGGCAAAATGAACTCAAGAAGTCCTCGCGTTTGATCAAGTGTACCGCTAGAAGTCTACCCTGTGGTACGCAGGGGTTTATAAAATGTTTCGCACCCAGGAGTGGTCACCACTGACCACGGGAAACTTGACAACTGTCCTCTTGTTGAACAAAAGGAGGAAGCTTGCTGATGAGATACTGAGTTTTTAGTCTTGTGGTCATGGTGGACAGTTAAAAGGATATCAGGTAAAACAGTGTTTCTGTAAGTGAAACCAGTTCACCTCAGCACAAAATTTAGCCTTAATACATGTGTGTGCAGACACTTTCTTTTGTATTCCATTAACAGCAGCTAGAGCTTAATTTAAATTCATGTCATGAACCTTAAGCACAGAAGTTAGGAAAAAAATACCATTGCATGTACAGGGCATTATCAATCAAAGCTAAGACCAACAAATATGAATTTTGTCAGGAACTACAAAATTTGTATTAGTTGCTAACAAAACAAGATTGTCTTAAATCAAAGCTTATTAGCAACGGTTTCAAGAGACACATTTATGTTTCGTTTGCTTAAATATTGAAATTTTTCTAATAGTCTTCATTGATCACATGGTAATTCTAATTAAAGAGGTTAATTTCAGTTTTAATTCCTCTATCTGTGTACATTTTAGGTGACAGGAGTCCTACCACCCAAGAAATCCTTAAGAGCAAACATTATTTATTGCTCAGAAGACTGGGAAAGGCACATTGACCCTGAAGAACTCAGAGCCGGAGGAACTGATTTCTTCTGTTCTAGTCCTAGGGATGAGCTGAGGTTTTGAGTAGGCCAGGCCACTGAGCTCTGTCCCCAGTTCAACTGGGTCATCTTCTGTGCCACATCTCCAAAAATCTACTCTGGGAAACTAAGGACTGCCCATGATAAAAGAAAAAAAAGAAAAGAAAAGAAAGAAAATCTGGTTATTCAGTATTAATGCAAAAATTAACATCGTGTATTTTTCAGGTAAATGACCTATGTTAAAATAGAATTGGTGTTAAGAAGGACTTTGTAGGAAACTATTTATACATGTATAACACTATTAACTCCTCTCAATGTTTGGGAATCACCCAGACACTGAACATACCAGAGTTCTGGGAAGCCTCTGGCCATGAGCAGCTCGTCTAGAGTAGAGACTAGAGACCAGGTATGGAAGGCTCGGAGGTGGGGCTGAGGCATGCAAAGGGAACATGTAGATGAATTGTTTTCCCATGGCCTAGTTTCACCTTCCTCTCTCTAACACCAGATAATGGTATGGCATGAGAATGGATGTGGTAGCAGATATATAAGATGACCTTAGAGAGAGGACAATTAACATTTATCTTTTTTACTAGTTAAGTTTGATCTACCGTCATAAAAGAAATCAAGCATTTGCTCCAGCGTTCCAGTGTATTTTGAGAAGAGTGTCCAAAGTCTTTAGATGTGTAGTTCAAAATGCAAAGTCAACCCAGGAAACATCAAGTCTCTTAGATGTGCATGAGTCAGGATATGGGGAGGCTTGTTAGGATCAACACTATCAAGCTAACTTGTTTGGGTGACACAGCCCCACATTTGACTATACTGATGTAAAACCAAACTGGCTATTTCCTTTCCATCACCTGGACTGTAAATGGTTTCAGAGGACGCAAGTACCTTTGCGAACCACATCTATTTTATTTACTTTACATTCTTTTCCAAAAATTAACTTAGGAATAAAGCTTTCATTCCTTTTTCTTGGTCATAGAAATGTTAAAAATATTTTTTTTGTTCTCTTTTGTCAAAGTTTTCCATTTAAACTAATCTTAAGGCATAATAGTAAGTTCGTTTAAAAGCAACAGCCTAAGAGAGGAACAGCGATTGGGTAAATACCGTAATCCTGGAAGGCTAAGGAACACGTGTCTACACCTGGCTACACAAGGACACGGGTAACTGAACCATTAGCTGAGAGTGCTGTTTTAACAACATGGGTCATGTTAATCATGTAGTCCTAGTCTCATCTGGGTCTTTTAGGCTCCTAAGGCCTCTACCCTCAGATACAAGGCTGCTCTTTTATGGAAACAGCTGTGTGAAGAAAGTTGGAAGTAAAATAAGTTCTAACTTTGTTTATATGCAGGGAAAAATAAAACCCCAACAACTGAAGGTGTACAGTTGCTGTCAGTAATTATCAGCGTAGGTAGAATTATGAATAACGTTTTACCGGCTGCTTGTTTGCGTATTTCGAGATGTACAGGAGGATGGTCTGCACGTGATGAAGACAAGGACACTGGGGAGGGATACCTGCTTCGTTCCGGAGCGCACGCACTTACCTGTCCAGCTAAGTCCCAGGTGATCGGCTACTATTGCCATCCTGATATCTGTCCGCTCACAAGGACTCTGTGGACCTACGATTTACAATTTCTCGATTAAAACAATCGCCAAGGAAGACACGGGCACTGGAAAATTGCTTTTCGCAGCACTCAGGTTTTTCTTTTTCTTTCTTTTTTTTTTTTACAGAGACTGACACTAACACTGTGTACTTAGATGTGTCCTAGTCACCTAGTCACAAACACTTTTCGTCTGTCACCCGCACCAGGCCAAATGCCAGATTACATGGATGCTCGGAATGTAATGAGATTGAACATGCTGGCGAGTCGGCCGCTTCACAACGGTCACCGAGTCGCGTTGGTGGCCACAGCCATGGATGGAATCTGGACATCGGTGCCCTGGCTCGGACAGAGTCGTATCCACGAGCACATTAGGAAAGAAACTCGCTCACATCTTTGAGTGACACCAGTGTCGCATGCTTCCCTAGCTCTCTACGGTGTAGCTGGATTGAGAGAGAGGATAGAGCATCTAGGACAGCACACACAGAATGACAATGACAGAATGAGAAGCTAGGGTTAAACCACTCCACAAGCAATCACGACAGGTCATGCACTAGGGTCTACGAGTTGGAAAGTGTTTACGGACTATGCTGTTTCTCCAGGTCGTGAGCAAAGAGCGCTCAAGAAACCTGACTGCCTTCATTCTCACCAGTCCTCCTACTGCCGGCCTTTCCACTCTTTGATTTTAAAGGTGTTGCCTCTGTTCTCTTATCTCTAGCGGACTTCGTGGTAACTGAAGGCTGGCCACCCCGGGAAGTCTCGGACAACGACGTGGTTCTTGAGGTACTCTCTTCCTCATCAGACAACTCCGACTGCATCTTTTTGTCCTCTTCAGTGAGGCGATCCACAAGTTTTAGGGTCTCACCACTAATTCCCTTAAAATATTCAATGGGATGTTTACATACAGCCTTAAGCTGACTTTCTCTAACTTTAACGGTGGTGGTGGTGGTGGTGGTGGTGGTGGTGGTGGTGGTGGTGGTGGCGGTGACACAGGTGGATCTTACCTTTACTGGCAACTTGGATGGAGGCAGTTTGGCCTTGCCTTTTTCTGGCTGCCCTCGCTTTTGTGTGGCACATGCTTTTCTGACTGAAACTAGGTTCTCCCTGTGTGTGTTTTTGACTGGAATTCGGGACTTGACATCTATACATGAAGAAGGAGGAAGGGTTTTGTTTTTTTCAGATGGACCAACCTGCCTCGGTTTACCTGCTTTACTGTCTGGCTTATGGTTTGGCAGGAAGACATCTTTTGGTGCAGTGGCCTTTATGGGAAGCTTGGATTTCCGCCTAGCCCCTATTGGTTCCTTCCGCGAATCTCTGGTGCAGTGTCCTTGGATCCCTGGACTCTTTCCTGAGACTTTCACTGGATTAGCTTTCTCTGTGGTACGAGTAGGGGCAGCCCGTCCTGTCAGAACTACGTGATTTGTGGTGTTATCTGTCTGCACAGTGGAAGAATCCAGGTTATTGTTGTTATTGAAGTTATCTTTCTGGAAATCGTGTTTCTCTTGGGGCCTATCGCCCACCTGGCTATCGGGTGCACTTGAGATTACTGCCATCATTTCGTTTTCTAACCCCTGA